ATAAAATTACAAATGCAGTGTTTATAGCAAAATCATTGTCATTTTCAACAAATAGTTTAAAAAAATTTATTCACAATATATTAGATTTACAATTACATTTAAAGTAAACATGTGTTAATTAATTAATCACAATTCAGCTATGAATAATGTGGTTTATTTATAGATAGAGTTATTTCTAATGGAAAAGCGGTTGTAATTAACGTTATTAACCAATTAGCCTTTTTTGACCATGGTAGAATTTGTGTACATGTGAGGTAGACGATCCGGGAGACCTGATATGGCTGGAATGTAATCACGTGCCCGGTATGTAATACCGTAGTCCCGCGCCGGGCGCCGACGTCTAGGTTTACGCTTACGTTTACCTAAACTGTCCCCGATATCTATACACAATATAATTATTAAAACAATTAGTAATAATAATTTAATTAATTTACTCAATTTCATGATGTTTAGTGATTGAATTTATAGAGTAAACTAATTGGTTGTTGTTAAAGGGTTTAAGTTTTATAAGTGAAATAATAAGTGTATTATTTTTATATTAGTTTAGATAAGTGGTTTAATAATATTAACATCCCATCACGTCAATTGAAATAAACGTGCATATAATCATGTGTGAATAAATAAATTTTAAAACTAAACTCAACCTTGTTAATGAACTTTTGAATTAAAGTATGATAAATAAAATTAAAAGTGTGTATTAATTTACATAAAGGATTTGCGGATATTAACATCCCGTTACGTCAATTGAAAAACGTGCAGCTCATTTTGGTTAAACTGAATTTATTTTGTTATCTATCAATCTTCTAGATTAAACATAGATTATAATAAAAAATAATTTTATCTATTTTAACTTAATTAAATTAGTGTACGTAAATTATACAGTATTACATTTACGTAATTTGCATGTATGTTCTAATATGTCATTTTATAATTTAAGAATTATAGCAACATGATTATTTGATAAAACTATTATGTTAAAAGTTATAATAATTTATTTTACAAATATGTAATAAAATTTTAAACTATCTGATTTAACATCATATTATTTTTTTAAAAAAAATATAATGTAATTATTTGTAATAAACGCAATAAAAATTTACCGTTTTTATCCACGGTTAGTCTAGATGACCTATGTTGATTTTGACACCTGGGTTGGCCACCACGTTCACGGCGATGGTATTTACACACAGATAGCCACGAGCGGCTTCCCTGATACTTTCCCAATGGGCGCCGTCTCCGTTGACTGTCCGCCAAATCCACACTCAATACAATTGTTAAGAAAATTAATAAAAATAATTTCATAAAATTTAATTTCATTTTTAATGTTTAATAAATGGTTAGCACAATATCTAATTTTCTAGGGGTTTATTGTAGTTTTGACATTAAATCCTGTGTTTAAAGCAAAATATTTGTGTCATTTCCTCAAAATGTTTGGGAAAATTAATTTTTTGTTAAATTAATTTACAACTTATTGTATTTACAGAATAACTATTTATAGTATTTCAAGTTTAAATTAATTTACCATTTTGTCCAATGTTTTTAAAATTTTGCTTAGAATTAAAAGAGTTATGAAGTTTTGTGTTTAATTTGTTGCATTTGCATTTTATTATGTCAAACGTGATAAAATATTCAATGATAATAATGTTTAATTAAATTAACAATTACAACATTTTGTGAGTTCTTAAAGTATCTGTTATTTATTACATTTAATCTTTGAAAGATTTTTTTAAATATCATATAAATAATTGATTATTTATAATTAAATTATTTAATAATAATTTATTACTAATTTATTGTATTTTTAACATAAGTATTTTAAATACTAGTAAAAATTACAAATTAATTTTAATTAAAATGTTTTACAAAATGTGAGATTAGTAATTTTTAAATAATAATATAAATGTTATATTTTAAATATGTGAAACAGCATATAAATTAAAATTGCATAACTGTTATACGGTTGTTACTGACTCGAATTGAATTTATCATGCTCATCAACGATAATTTCCATAAGGACTGTTGGGTGTGCGATAGCCGGTGTCAGGGTAGGGTGTCGTGTATGAATATAAGTATTGTATTCCGTAGTCCTGCGCCTGGTGTCGACGTCTATGTTGACAAATATGTTGACTGTCCGCCAAATACACACTTAACATAATTGTTAAGAATATTAATGAAAATAATTTAATAAAATTTAATTTCATTTTTAATGTTAAATAAATAAATGGATATAATGTTATATTGTTATCTAATTTTCTAGGGGTTTATTGCATTTTTAACATAAGTATTTTAAATTTTAGTAAAAATTACAAATTAATTTAATTTACAAAGTTCCACAAAATGTGAGATCATTAAAAATATTTATTATAATAATATTTATATTATAAATATGTGAAACAGTATATAAATTAAAATTACATGAGTGTAAAGCGGTTGTTACTGATTCAAATCCAATTGACCATGCTCATCCACGATAATTTCTATAAGACCTGTTGGATGTACGATGACGTGGCCGAGGGCGGGGTCGATGTCGGGGTGGCGTGTATTCTACCGCATAGCGTGGAATACCGTAGTCCCGCGGCGGGCGTCGACGTCTATTAACACGTTGACTGTCTGCCAAATCCACACTTAATATAATTACTAAGAAAATTAAAAAAAATAATTTAATAAATTTAGTTAATTTCATTCTCAATGCTTAGTCTATGGAGAATAATTATTGTGTAATCTACTGTACATGTGTATACATTTCAATGCATTTTATAGCAAAATATGTTTTACAGCAAATCCTGTGCCTAAGAACACAATTTTTGTGTCATTTCCTAATATTTATTACGACATGGTCGTATACTTTTAAATTTGTTATATGCAACTTTTAATAATGGTCGCAAGGCTCCAAGTTGTAGAATATGGGATAGGGCCAATATTATTGAATTAAAGTTTGTACTATGTATGGGTCAGATCACTGTCAGATCAATTTTATTGCTATGTAATTTATACTCTATTCATGTCTTACTCATATAATAGGTTATAAATTATCAAGGTAATACAGTAACCACGTCAAGTTATAAATAACTTCGCCCCAATCATACAAACTTTGTACTAATTAATTAAAAACTTATTTGAAGCAAATGTATTATTTTTATTAAAATTGTACCATCTATTATATTAACTTAATTACCATAGTTTTTAAATTATTTTTGATATTAGATTTTTAAATTTTACAATTAAAATTTTATTTAAAATTAATATAGTGTATTATTTATTATTAATATAGTGTTAGAATTAATTTAAATAAAATAATTTCAATAATTATATATTAAATACATGATAAATATTGCATATTAAAATAGTTAATCATATTTAAGATTTAATTTAAACTTACAATAAGTTAAACAATTATTTATTTAATATAAAATTAATTGTTATTCAATTAAAATAAAACAAGTTTATTATGGGTAAAACAAAAATAACCATGCTCATCCACGATACCGATAGCGACGTCCGCCGGTGCTGTGGCCGTAGGCGTAGGTGGGATTGTAGGGCCGGATAGGGCGCCGACGCCGTTGACTGTCCGCCAAATGCACACTCAATACAATTGCCAACAAAATTAGTAAAAATAATTTTATATATTTATTTAAATCCATTTTCAATGCTTAGTTTATGAATTGAAGTAATAGTGTAACCGATTATTGTTATAGATTTTCGCGAAGCACTTTTATTATACAAAATGATGTGCTTTTATAAAAATTATTTTTGTCATTTCCGTCGATGTTTTCCATGAAAATTAAATGTGTCTATAATTTATTTATATTCAGTATTTTATTAAGATTTTCTTTTTTAAATACGCTTGTGTAAATAGATTTTAATTTTTATAACAGTAAATAGAGTTATTTAATAAATATTTTGTTGACTAAACTGTTTTATAATTATTTACATTTTACTAATAATTTATTAAATAGGTGTTTTATAAGAATTTTAGTTTAGTAATTTATTTAATTTTGTTGTAGTATATTTTTATATTAATATCTTAATCTATTTAATTAAACAAACAATTATATTTAATAATAATTTATATAAAATAATTTATGTTAATAAATAAAAAATAACAGTATTGTAAATTTGTGCACGGTAAATTTATCAAACTCATACACGGTAAGTTCTGGATGATCGATATCGATTGTACCGATTTCGGCCACCATATCCAGCTCCATACGCAATCCCATAGTCTCGGTGCCGTCGTCTACGTTGACTGTCCGCCAAATCAACAATCAATACAATTGTTAAGAAAATTAGTGAAAATAATTTCATAAATTTATTTAACTTCATATTTAATGCTTAGTTTATGAATAGAAATTATAATACATTTTATGGATTTTAAAACACTTTTTACACTAAATCCTCTATTTAGGAAAAATATTTTTGTCATTTCCTCTAATGTTTTGAAAAAATTAAAAGTTTGTAAAAAATTATACACAATATTATAGATAAATTAATATTTTATTAATTAATTTTATAACAATAATTGTTAATTATAATATTGTTTAAAATCTTATTACAAATAAAAATGATATTGATAATATTAAATGAAATTTATAATTATGTTAGTCCAGTGATGATCATGCTGTGTTAAACAAAAAGCCATAATCACGTGGTGGATTTCGAGTCCTGTATCTCCGTGGGTCCATCATGTTCATATCCATTTGTAAAATCACGATGCACACAAGTAAAAATAGTATTTTATTAAATAAATTAATCATGTCCAATATTGACATTGTTATAGTTATTTAACTCTATTTGTTGTGTAAAGTTTTAGAAATAAGTATGTAATAACTTTCTAACAAAATAAAATGAACAGGATACGTTAGCTTAGTTATGTTCCCGTCACTGTATAGCCAAAGTAGGTTAATATTAGATTAATGAATATAGTAGAAAATGATATTAAATCATACAATAAGTTTTATTTAAACCGGCAAAAATAATCTTAGTTTAAATAAAAATTATAAATGATCTTGGTAAAATTTTCTAATAGTTAAACAAATTAATGCATACCCATTATCACGGGTCAGACGTAAGGTGTGATCGGTTAAGGCGGATAACCCCACTAAAAACAATATACATATTAGTAATAATAAATAAATAATTTTTACCATAATTAGTAATTGATTACGTGTCACATATATAAATAATGTAAATTAAATTAATTATTTGAATAAATTATGCTTTAAATTACAAATATTGTGGAAACGCGCATATTAAATATTACATCCCGTCAATAGTGGAATTACAAATAATCATGTAACTAATTAAGAATAATTATGTACAATTACAAGCAAACCTAGCTAATAAAATATACGAGTATATATTTATTGCAATAAGTTAACGATAAATAAATGAACACAACGTCAACTGTAAAGCCGTTGGAACCGCAGCAACGGTTGGGTAGTCTAAAGACATGGCTCGACAAACACCAGGAGCTGATGAAACAGTCGGCCGATCACCAGAAGGACATCCGAGTGGTGTTTATCGGCGATTCGTTAACCAAATACTTTTTAACCGCTGGTCATCTCATTTGGGATAAGTATTACGGACCGGACGGCGCCTATAATTATGGCGTTTGCGGTGATAATACTTCAAATATCTTGTGGCGGATCCAGAATCACGAGTTGGTCGGACTTCAGCCCAAACTTATTGTCTTTCAATGTGGTAATTATTTTTTTAAGTAAATCAAGAAAATTAAATAATTTATTAAGTAGACTAGTACTTTACGTTAATTACAATTATTTATAAATTATTATAATTAATAATTATTATAAATTAGTAATAATTAATAAATAATGTTTACGTTTATATCAAAACTAATCCCATTAAGGATACAACAATCTATTTGCCGATAAGTCCAATACTGTGGCCGAAGACACAGCCAAAGGGATTGAGACTATACTACAGGAGTTGATGGCCAGATGTCCGGACAGTAAGATTATACACATGGGTGTGATTCCGATTAGAGACCCCGGTTTGGACCACCAGTGCCTGCGATTGGATGCGATGACCGAGAAGTTTGATAACCAAAACAATATCTACTTTCTAAAAACACGCGCACATTATTTGGACACCTATGGTATGGTTGATGGTTCGTTGCGTACCAGTGATGGCGTGCACCTGACCCGTGCCGGGTATCAGGTCTGGCACGAAGTCATGTGGCCATTAATGAAGCGTATATTTCAATAGTTTATGTTAACCAATTATTTTATTAAATTTTACAAAATAAATATTTGTAAATTAGTATTATAATAACAAGATAATTTTATCATAATTAATAATCATATCATACATATAAAATGTTATTTAATTTTAATGTTCTGTCAATAGTACCTTAATTAGATTATTTCGATAATTAATTAACCTTGTTATGTATAAAAATAATATTTGTATAAAAACAAAATAATTTTGATAATTTTAATCTAAAAGTTGAAGTGTTTTCGCAACGCATTGGTAGATAATTAATCCTATAGTTAATTAAATACACTTATAATTCACATCCTTTATTATAACAAATATTATTAATCACTTATTATTATCAAAAATATGTTAAGTTATAGTGATATTTTTCCCTAAACGATCATGATAAAAGTATACAATTGCATATGGTATATTGTATCTTTATTAAAACTATTAAAAAAGCAAACCAAACCATATTAACAAGTGATTAAAACCCACCATGATAAAATTTATATTAATTACTATATTGTGCGTTCAATTAACGTTATGCATAAAGCCCTGGGAGGCGGAGGCGGGCAACTGGTGGCCCAATTGGATGCAAATACATAACCAGTTAACGGCCAACAGCCGAGACCAGGCTGACCACATTAAGGCCCTATTCTTGGGCGCCTCCCTCACCAACTTCTTGGGCGGTGACGGCCGACAACTGTGGGACTCGTATTACGCGCCCAAAGGGTCGGCCAACTAT